GCACTCCTGCCTGGTCGAAAAAGCAAGACCCCATCTCTAAAAGTGAAATAAAAATAAAATGGGGAAATAGTAAATCAACAAGTGCAAAAACAATCTTTTGTCCTATTCAGTGCAATGAAGGAAACAATGAAATGTGGAAGTGATGGGTCAGGGAAGCCACTCTGAGGAGGTGACTTCGGAGCTGTCTCCAGATGATCAAGGAGTGAGCTAGTGGAAAGCCCGAGGAGCGGGGGCTTTACCGGATAGCTGGTGCAGATGTCCTGGAGTGGGGTGGGACGGACTTATTTTGGTCAAAGAGCAGCGAGGAGATGAGAGTACCACTGGAGTAGAGTGGAGCGGGGGTGTGGAGGTCAGAAAGTGAATATGGTGCACGGCAGGTCATGCAGGGCCATGGGAGTGGTGCAGAGAGAGGAGTGTGGTTTCTGTTGTAACCACTGATGAATTTTTAGCAGGGGGAGGCGCATCATCTGATTCCTGGCAGTCACTTGGAGGAGGATGGGCTGTTGAGAGGGTAGTAAGGTAGACCTAACATCTTAGATCTCTATGATACATCATGCTGCTATTCAAGAGGTGTTTGCTGAGTTCTAGGCAACTGTAGGTTTTTTGTTTGTTTGTTTTGACGAAGTCTGGCACTGTCACCCAGGCTGGAGTGCAGTGGCGCGATCTCGGCTCACTGCAACCTCTGCCCCCCGGGTTCAAGCGATTCTCCTGCCTCAGCCTCCTGAGTAGCTGGGATTACAGGCATGTGCCACCACTCCCGGCTAATTTTGTATTTTTAGTAGAGACGGGTTTCTCCATGTTGGTCAGGCTGGTCTCAAACTCCCAACCTCAGGTGATCTGCCCACCTCAGCCTCCCAAAGTGTTGGGATTACAGGCATGAGCCACTGCACCTGGCCATAACTGTAGGTTTTATGTGCAATGTATTTCCATCTGTAAAGCAAATTGTACTTAAATGCACTTTGTTTTTTTTTTTTTTGAGACAGAGTTTTACTTTGTCCCCCAGGACGCTTTGCAGTGGCATGATACTGGATCATTGCAATCTCCGCCTCCTGGGTTCAAGCAATTCTCTTGCTTCAGCCTCCCAAGTAGCTGGGACTACAGGCTTGCGCCACTACGCTCGGCTAATTTTTGTTTGTATTTGTAGTAGAGACAGGGTTTTGCCATGTTGGCTAGGCTAGTCTTGAACTCCTGGCCTCAGCAATCCATCTGCCTTGGGCTTACAAAGTACTGGGATTACAGGCATGAGCCACTGCATCCGGCTTTTTTGTTTGTTTGTTTGTTTGAGACACAGTCACACTCTGTTGCTCAGGCTGGAGTGCAGTGATGTGATCACAGCTCAGTGCAGCCTCAACCTCCCTGGGCTCAAGTGATCCTCCTACCTCAGCCTCCCTAGTAGCTGGTACTAAAGGTATGTGCTACCACACCCAGCTAATTTTTATATTTTTTGTAGAGATGGGGTTTTGTCACGTTGCCCAGGATGGTCTAGAACTTCTGGGCTCAAGTGATCTACCCGCGTCAGCCTCTCAAAGTGTTGGGATTTCAGGTATGAGCTACTGTATCCAGCCCCCTATGGGCTTTTATATGCAGAGAATACCTTTAGGAGATATTTAAAAACTAGAGAGAGGAACAGGGATGTTTGAGTGGGAGAGAGATTGAGTTTTCACTTTTGTGATTTTTAATTAAAAAAGTTTTTTTTGGGCCGGGCGCGGTGGCTCAAGCCTGTAATCCCAGCACTTTGGGAGGCCGAAACGGGTGGATCACAAGGTCAGGAGATCGAGACCATCCTGGCTAACATGGTGAAACCCCATCTCTACTAAAAAATACAAAAAACAGCGGACGCAGTGGTGGGCGCCTGTAAATCCACAGCTCAGCTCGGTAGAGGCACTGAAGGCAAAGGAGAATGGTGTGAACCCGGTAGGCGGACTCTCGCAGCTCGGCACTGAGATCCGGCCACTTTGCACTTCAACTAGCCGCGGGCCCAAAGACGCGAACTCCACCTTCTCAAAATCAAAAAAAAAAAAATACTTTTCCTTTCAGGCGTGGTTGTCCTCCAAGCCTGCAAGTCTCCAGCACCTGTTGGGAGGCTGAGGTGGGGGATCCCAGCTGAAATCTTTTGACCAGAAATTTCAGAGGGTTGTCTGCCAGTGGAGCTGTGTTCATTGCACATCTCGCACTCCTAATCTGGGCAACAAGCCAAGACCTGTTGTTCTCTAAGAATAATAAAACCAATAAGCCAGCTTTAAGGTGGCTTTACGCCTGTAAATCCCAGCACTGTTGGGGTCTTAAGGCGGGCTGGATTACGAGGTCAAGGAGTTTCAGAAACCAGCCTGACCAAGCATGTGAACCCAATCCCTACCTAAAACTACAAAAATTTAGCCGGGCAATCGGTTCGGCCGCCTTCTGTGGTAATCTCTAATGCTACGTCGGTTGACAGGCTAGTGCATGGAGAACACTTGGCAACCTTGGGAGTCAGAGGTGTGGGTGAGCCAAGATTGTCGCCACTGCACTCCAGTCTCTGGTGACAGAGCGAGACTCCATCTCAAAAATAATACCATACATACATATAGAAGAGGTTTAAAAAACAATAAATTAAACAAACATTCAAAATTTTTCATTTTAATTATTCAGATTATAAAACATTCATTGCTTTAAAAAACGAAGACATTTAATGTAGTGGTGAGGAAGTTGTTGGTGTGTTGGTGTGTGTGTGCAGGGGAGGCTAGTGCAATCTGGCGAAGGATGGGGTGAGGCAGCAGAAGACACAGGGACCCAAGGAAGGAAGGGAGAGGAGGGACCGGACTTAAGAAATTTTGTAAAAGAGTCAACAGGATGTGGGGTGAGCAGCAGGCAGGGCAGACATGACTGAGGTCTGCAGTCTGAAGATGCCTGTAACCTAGATAGGAGATGATATCTGTTAGCATATGCTAAACCTTTAAGATAATGGCCCATGAGGCCGTGCACAGTGGCTCACACCTGTAATCACAGCACTTTGGGAGGGTGATGCGGAATCATGATTTGAGTCCAGGAATCCAAGGCTGCAGGGAGCTATGATCATACCACTGCATTCCAGTCTGGGGCAACAGAGTGAAACCCTGTCTCAAAACAACAGCAACAAGAATCAGATG